ACAAAGTATTGCGACACTTCTGGGAGGGCTCTTGCTGTCTGCATACTCTGACACGTGGAGCTGTGAAACTGCTTTCTCCATGAGCTGGCATTACGCTGAGCCCATCATTCCAGGCTCACAGGCAAGGCTCCCCCCGTGTGCAGCGCCACTCCAGAACCGTTGAGTGCCTCTTTCCCATGGGCCCTGCTCCCCTTTAGAATCTGCTAAAACAACAAAAACAACAGTGTGGCCAAGAACTTTAAAAATCAGCATCCTGCCCTGACCGGTTTTGCTCAGCGGTTAGAGCGTCGGCCTGTGGCCAGAGAGACCCAGGGTTGGTTCCCGCTAAGGGCATGTACCTCGGTTGCAGTTTGTTCCCGGCCCTGGTTGGTCGTGCGAGTGGCAGCCATTTGATGTGTCTCTTTCATGTTGATGTTTCTCTCTCTCTCTCTCCCCCTCCCACTCTGAACAAACAATGGAAAGATGTCCTCCGGTGAGGATTAAAAAAAAAAAAAAATCAGCATCCTACATGATGCACGATGTTGCCACCCACAAGCTCTGGTCTGAAAAGAAGCCCTGCTCCTGAACCACCAGTACAAGGACACAGCTGGTCACAGCTCAGAGAGCTCTGGGTGTGAAATGAAAGGCAAGCTCAGTTCAAACCCTGTGGATCTCACATCAGCCAGATGACCATGGATACTACTCAGCCTCGGTAGCTCTGTCATGTTTGCACCCTGCTTTTGGTAGTGGGACCTACACGCGTCCAGGACACCGTGCTGACTTCCTGTTCCACCACATGCCTTCAGGGGTGCAGGAGGCCACATACCGCAGCACCACACTATCTTCAAACCTAACCTGGGCACAGAGAATGTCTCCTTCACCTTCCCACAGGGGCATAAACTAGCCTGTGGGAAAGTGGGCAGCAGAGGGCGGGGCATAGCACCCCATGAATGCCTACTGACAGCACTCTGTCCTGCTCCATGAATGCACAGTAGATTCACTTCGAGGCTCCTCTGTGCTCTGCCCTCCATGTCCTCGGGAGGACCCAGCCCATGCCAAACACCCAATAAATAAATGCTTGTTGAAAGCTCCAATGAATGAGAGGAAAGGAGGATGAAACCAAGGGCAGAAAGATCAAGCAGCTTCCGGCCTTCTTCTCTGAGGGCCCATTCATAGGGAGCACGCGGCCATCACCTCTCACTGGCCAGCCTGGTTCATCCCTAGCCTCACACATTAATATTCATGTGCACAGGGAGGAAGTCACAGAACTAAGCCATCTCGGGAGTCACTAAGAAACCAGCAGCACCACCTGCTGCCCCTAGAGCGGAAGAGGACCTCTGCCCTGGCCCAGGCAGTGGGAGGGTGGGAAGAGAGGAGGGCCTGAGCCAGCCAAGGTCTCTGAATCAGCAGGCTGTGAGCCCTCCTCATACCAGGTGGGCTCTTTGTGTGTGTGGACAGCGGAGGAAGTGCCCCGCTGACCTGGCAGGCTCCCACTTCGCTCCTCTCAGCCCCTACCATTTCCTCTCAAGGCTATTTGGCTAGGCTGCCCTCAGTGCCGCTTGGAAAGAAATGGTCATGGCAGGGCTGGCTACAAACAGTGGCTTTCAAAATACTGTTTCTCTCACACAGAGGGTGCAACTACCAATCTATGAAGAGGGCCCTCTAACCTTTCTAATGCATGAAGGTGTTCAGGGCAGTGGGGTGGCCCTGAGAAGTCTGGCACCTAGCAGACTTTTCTGAGACTGATCGGTAACCCTGACCCCGCACCGTGCTCTGGAGCTGCGTCTTGGAAGATGAAAGCATGGGGACTGTTCCGTGCTCTGGTGAAACCGGGAGCTGGCCTCAGACCACGACCTCAGCACTGCTGAAGGCAGAGTACTGAACGTGCGAAACCACCTTGTGCACAGCGGGCTGCTGCGTAATGGTGGTCCAGGCCTGTTCTAGCCCACTGGAGTCACATCGTTTAGAGCGTCTAATGATGCCTGGAAATGCTCATTATATATTACAAATGCAAATCTCTCTCTATATGTATCTACCTATAGACACGCACACACACAAAGTATATTCAGTATGACCCTGACCACATAAAGACAGAAGTACCCAGAAAAAACAAGAAGCAGGTGAGCTGACAGCGTACCACCGGCTCTCTCAGCGCCGGGGTCTGAGATGGCTTTCTCAGGACCTGCACAGCAGAAGGCCTCAGGGCTGTCTGGGACAGAGGAGAGCTTCCAGCACTGAGGGTCACAAGCTCTGAGCCTGCCCCTAACCTGCTGTGTGACCCCAGAACATGAACAGCTTCTCTAGGCTTGGGTGGTCTGTTTCCTCCCCAAGTAAGGGGTAGAAATGCCAAATGCATCAAAACCAGACAGAGGATCCTGGGTGGGAAGTGGTGAAGGACAAGGGGCAGTCCACAAACATTTTCTTAATTTTTAAAAATCATTGTCAACATTTAAAAATTAATAGATGTCAAAAATAAAGGTTTCAACCTTTTCTTTAAAAAATTGGATTCATAATAGCCCCAAAGTCGAAGTAACCCAAATACCCACCAACTGCTAAATGGTTAAAAAAATGTGTTATCAATAAAATGCTGTATCAGTCAGTCATTGGAAGGAATGCAGTAGGGACACATGCTAGTATGTGGATGAACTCTGAAAACATGCTAAGTGAAAGAAACCAGTCACATAGGCCACATGTAGTGGGCTCCCATTACATACATGAAGTGTCCAGAAGAGGCAAACCCAGAGACAGAAAGCACACCGAGAGCCAAGGCGGGGGAGGTGCAGCGGGAAAGACTGTTGAATGGGAACAGAGTGACAGAAACACCCTGGAATGAATACTGACGACTGCACCATATTGTGAATGGTTAAAACAGTGAATTTTATGTTACATGCATTTTATCTTGGTTAAAAATAAATTGGAAGAGCAAACCCATGTGGGTGGCACCAGCTGCCTTTCACCAACTGCACCCGGCCTCTGGCCAGAGCCGGGCCTATGCTGCCTGCCGGTGCGTGAGCACCCTGGCTGCTGGAGGTGGTCCTGCCCCACCAACGGGAGACGCCCAGCTCCCGGGGAGGGTCACGTCCCTGCCACCAGCCAAAGGAAGGGCTGGGCAAACGGGTTCATTTATAAAATCTTTATTTCACCTTTCCCAACCAGGTAACACAAAAAGCAAACACGGGTCGAAGGGGAAGCTTGTATCCCTCCTATCACTCTGGCCCTAAAGCCCCTCCTCAGAATCTACCTGCTTACTCAGCAGAACTCCATCTTCTTATTCTCACCAGGCTCCTCCCAGGGAAAACTAGCCATTAGTATAATGATCAACTACAATTTTGAAAAGGGTTGATAGTCTTTCCTGAAGAACATCCTTATCCATAACTTAGGGTGGCCATCTCTTTATGGAAGAACTGTTTTTCAGACTTAAAAATAAAATCAAAGCCACTGTCTGAAAGGGCTTGCTGTCCCCAGAGGCAGTGCCAAGTGGGAACTTCCAGCAGACCTGCCTTTACTGTCCTGGGTGCTCAGAAAGACTTTACACCACAAGCTCCCTGGGGCACAGCACACAGGCAATGGACCATGCACACTAAGCTCCCACAAGCCTTGGTGCTGGCCTTCAGTGAGCGAGATCTGTGGCCGGAGGGCTCCTGCCAAAGGAAGCTGGGGCTCTGTCTAGGTCCCTGATGGCAAAAACATCACCCAAGGACACCTGGGGCCAACACTGTCTTCTGGACACATCCAAGCACTTGGCAAGACTGCCAGGCCCTGAGTAACCAGAAATCCACCCATTCCCACTTTCCAGCCCCCACCCTCCCAACTCCCACCCCAATCCTTTGCTACCCAATTTACTTCAGGAAGGTCCCTGTCCCTGTCCCAAGTGCACCACTGCATGCTCTCATACCTCTCACAGCCAAGCCTCTGATGGGAATGCTCTTGCCTCTTCCTGGCCTGGCCACTCCTGCTCTCCCCTGAAGGTTCCTTCAAGATGCCTGCCTCACTCTCCCCCCCCCCCCCCGCCCCAACTCCTGATATAAACCCCGCCTCCTGAGCTAAGCCCTGCCCCAGGATGCTCTCATAGAACTTCCACCAAAGCCTGGCCCAAACACACTGCTGCTGTACTGCAGTTCCCGTGGTGCCTACACCTGCCTAGATCCTCGAGGGCAGGACTACTCCCTGTTTGTGTCTGGGTCCCTGCGAGGCAGGACAGAGCCTGGCATTTGCTACATTTTGGCAAACATCTAGGGAACCCAACTATATACAAAAAGATGGTTCTAGCTGGGGAAACATAGACCCCAAAGATACAGGCCACAAAATATACAATTCAAAGTTCCTAGACAGAAAACCCACAGATCATCCATGCTCAGGGCACCCAGAGGGTGAGGTGGTACTTGCTAGACTTCCCAGGGTGCAGGCTGGGTGGGAAGCCATCATGAAGCTTGCAGGTCAAGCCCTGTACCCAGCAATCCGGAATCCCATGTGCCCAAGATTTCCATCCAGATTACACCAATCATGCTACACTCATTATTCAAAATCCTCTTACATTTGGCATTAAACAGAACGTAAAAGTGTTCATCCTAGCCTAGTAAACTGATTTACTATTGCATTAAATAAGAAGAAATTACAGCAAATGTATCCCCTTTTCATTAGCAGTCATGTTGAGTACATCATAATTTCCAGCTACTTACAGCAAGCTAATTTACATGTTTCATGCTGTGTATTACAGTTTCTTAGCCTGGGTGCTGGGTGCAATTCTGCGGCTGGAGAGCAGAGAGAAAGTCAGCTTTCCCTCCACCAAAGCAGACCACCATTCGAAACAGGATGAAAGGAGAATGCTGTGCCCCAGCCCTCAGGCAGGGAGCAGCAGCCTGGTAGACATTCCAGTCGGGGACTGCAAAAGCCTGAACACCCACCACCATCGACCAGATTCACTCCCACCTCTGCCAGGTGACAGAGAGCAAGAAGCTCCACCCTGCTGCCCCTCACCCATCCAACAAGCACGCACGAGAGATAAACAAGGGGATCTTTACCAAATGATGGCCAGGGGTTCGAAGTGCTGGCTGGGGCTGCTGGCCCACCCCAGGGGTTGGTCTGGTTAGCTGAGGCTGGTGGGCCCCAGGGCTCTGCTTTCTGGGCAGCAGGGCCTGAGCTGGGGAGGGCGTCCATTAGATCCAACAGAGTGGTCTGCTGTGGGTAGGAGCCGGGCTTCTGAGACAAAGAGAAGAGGATAGGTGTGACTTTGCCACAGTAACAACAAATGTCCACGTGTTGCCATAAGTATTGCCCATGCTTCTTACTAGAGCAGAGGCCCTCTGAGAGGAGCCAAGAAGACCTTGGAAATGGAGCAGCCCCATCGCCTGCCCAGTCTGTACCTCTTTGCCCCTCAACATCACCATAGCCACACTGAGCTATTTACTATGTACCAAATGACCTGCCCGTTTTCCAACAGTCCTAAGGCTTTTCTGCATGACACCAGTTTTGCTCCAGGCTTCCTCCTCCTTCCAGAATGCATGCCTGCCTTGTTCCCTCCGCTGCCAGCCACCATCCAGGGCCCTTGCTCCTGGGCACTGCCCAACTCTCCTGCTCCCAAGGCTGTAGCCAGGGCACCTTGGGCACTGGAATATGGGAGGCCACCGGAGCCCCTAGGCCTGAGTGCATGATGAGTTTGCCAGGAGCAAAGCCATGTCCTGGGCACGTCGAGGTCCGAAGCAGGAAGTCTGGCACAGAAATGATGGCAGCAAGGAAGAGCACAATAGTGAGGGCTGACCCTGCACCAGGAAATCGTTCCAAAGCACCTGACATTTAGCTTCCGTGACGTAACTAACAGCCACTGTAACTGTATGAGGTGGGCTCTACTACCTGCATTTCACAGGGAAGGAACTGAGGTACAGCTCAGCAGGGGGCATGGGAACCTAGGCAATTAGGCCCCTTGCCCATTTCTCTCAGGTGGTCTCAGGAGGCCAGTAACAGCCTAGGTGGGTGTGTTTTCAATTCCGTCCTCACCTCACTCTTGCTCAGCACAGGCCTCAGGATTATTTGCTGAATGGACAAACTGGTGTGTGGGAGAGCTCCACGGGTCACGTGCGCACTGCAGTGGGTGGGGAGCCCTTCAGCAACAACTGTGGGACAGTCTCAACACACTCATCTTCTAGCAAAGCACTCACCTCTTTCTTTTTTGGAACTTGAGCAGTGTCTCTCCGGCTTTCTTCCAGGGCCATCTGTAGTCTGAGGTCGTCACCCCGCCTGAGGCGCTCTTCCTGTAGAGGACAGTGGACTTGAAGCTGGTGGCCACTGCAGTGACATCACTCGAAGAACAAAGCAACAGGGCCAGAGCCAGGAAATGCAAGACTGTGTCATGTGTTATTTGGAAAGAGGGTCTGGAAACACCTTGCAGGACAGTGATCTTGTAACTCCTGCTCACCCCACACACCTCGTGCGGAGTCCCCCTTGTCCGGGTCCCAGGGAGACTGGGCACAGGCACCGCACACTGGGGAAAGGGAATACTTATTCTAAAATGTCTTTTTCTTAAAGTTAAAATGTCTTTATAATTCTAATTATGAAAGTAATATGTCTCCTTTTAAAATTAAAAAATCTGGCAACCCAGAAGGAATACTCTGCATACTTCCAGAAATTACTGCACATTTTCTACGCTTTCTAACAAAAATGATTCATTATAGTCACCATATGCAAATGACTGAGCCATCCCAGCTTTTACATAATGATTAAACGTAAACAAATTCATTATATTTTATTATAAGCCTAATAAATCATAGACATGTTATTAACTAGAATGAGCCCAGCAGATCACCTGTATGTCCATCTCCCTGTGGTAGCTGACTTGTCCCTATACACCACTTCGAAGTGAGAAGGTCCCCCCACGCCCCCGCTCGCTGCACCTGACTCCTCCTATCCTTTCAACCAGAGGTCAGTGCAGACAGACCTGATAAATGCAACTGAAGGGCTGACAGCTTTGAAAGGTCATTTCAATCCTTTCTTTCCTTCCTTCACCATTTTAAAGAAATGTGTGTTTATTAACGAAAAATGGGAACTGAAAAAAATTAAAACTACACATACTTCCATCATCCAAATATAAGCACTCATATTTCCTGGAGCATTTCCTTCTAGCCTCCCCCGCCCCCCTTTTTTTTTTCCAGTGTTCAGACGCTGTTGGTTCGTCTTACCAAACTTCTCAGGGCTAAGCCCGACTGTGAGCCCACACACCATGTGTCGAGGAGGCTGTGGACACTCAGCTCGTTCAGAGCAAGCCCATGAGGCTTGGCCATGTCTGCAAAAGTGTTTCTGGGAAGCACCTTTGAGTGGTTTGTCCCTTGGCGATGTCTTCCCTGAAAACCTTTCCTAAACATAACTTTGCGTAGGACCCCCTCCCTGACTGGGGGCAGTAGGTGACAGAATACATTGGTGGCAACACAAGTCATATCTCGGAAGCACATGCAAAGCGTGGAGGGCAGGACAGGTGTCTGTCCTCCCTGTGCTCCACACAGGCCTGGGCACAACCTGCTCAGCCACTTCTCTGCTCATGGCAAGCGCCAGCTGTAGCTGCAGTTCTTCTTCTCCGCTCGTCTGGGGCCGGGCCTGCTCCAGCTCGGAGGACACCCGAGGGGAAGTGGCTGTAGGGAGAGGCAAAGGACAGGTTCATGCTCAGTAGTTACCCGGTCAAATCACCGCCCATTCCCATCTCACACCCACAAGGTCTGGCAATAGTCCAACAATATGCGGATATTTCAACGTTTAAATCAAGTAACGTCAAGTGTGGTTTCACAACTGCCACATGGCGCCAACCGAGACCAGATGCCTCCAGGCACATGCCCAGTGGTCAGGCCTTCCGAAGATTCGACCCTCAGCCTTCACTGCAGAGCTGCTCTGCTTCGAGGAGAGAAACTCATTTTCTAAAAGACCGAGAGGGTGGCTCTTGAAAAGCTGGATCAAAGAACATCAGTCCAACAAGTGCAGAGCCTCGATGGACCAAGAGCCACTCAAGGCTCCCCTAGCATTTAAGAATCATACTTTGTATCTCATGGCTGTAAAGACCATGGAAAATGAAAGCCAAACATTTCTGCAATAATCCTGAAAACTTGTTCTTTTAAGTATAACTGTACATTGACTTGAAAAAAACAAACAAAAAAGAAGCATATGCTAGTTTAAACTCTTGTAAGCAGCTTCCAGAAAGACAGCTCTTACTGAAGGGATGAGAGGAGTTCCGAGCTGACGCGACAGACCCTAAGGAAAGGAGTGATCACACAGTCACGCTCTAAGTCAGGCTGAGCCTCCGGAAATTAGATATACAGCTTTGGGAGCAGGTGCCTAAGTGTGTGCCCATCTCTGCTCTCACCCCAGGCGAGGGTCCACAGCTTGTCTGAAATTCTCACAGGAAGGTCTGCCATCTGAAAGAGTTTGGAACCACTGTCATATCGGTTCTGTCCTCTGTCCTCCCTCTGGGCCTCTGTGCATGCTGTCCCTCAGCCCACTCACCTCCTCCTCAGTGCTCAGAGCTTCCCCACTCCAGGTCCTCCAGGACTCCCCTCCCCTCTGGGGCGGGTCGGCACTCTCCTCTCTCTCACAGTGCTCACCCCCTTTCTGCACTTTGGTAGGTCATGTCAGAAGGTACACTACTTGGGGAAGGCCCAGGGCTGTGTTCTCACTATCACACCCACTCACAAGGTTTTCCAGAGCAGCTGGCAAATAGATACCAACTGACTGGATGGATAGATGCACGCATGTACAAATGGATGACGAGCAGACAGCTGGGGAATTCAACTTCATGGATGATGGGTGATTGTTTGAAAATGCTTTAAGTGTGTATTAGTTTGCTTCCTCCTTCTGTCATTATGTCCATTCTAAAACCCAATCAACAGGACTCACCCAAATCCTACTTCTGCCTAAATTCTAAATTTCCAATCTTAACTTGCTTCTTAGGATCTGCCTCTGGGAGAAAGTAAAAGGTGGGGAAGGCTCCCTGACAAATGAGGTTCCAGATGGCTGGTACTAGCTGCAGTGATGAAACGGGAGAGGAGGGCTAGAGACAGTCAAGGCCGTGGCAGTGATCCACAGAACCCGGTGAGGCCGCAAGGGGCTCCGGAAAGGGCGAGGGCAGTGCAGGCCAGGGGACTGGGATGGCCTTGCTTTGTCACACAATTAAGAAAAACACATAAAGCACACGGCAGCAAGGTTTCACTCAGAACAAGCCAGTGGTGTGAAGCACAATGTGTTTGCTATGACTTATTATCAAGCAAAGAACCAGCACCCAATTTTAAAAAATATTTTATTTTACTGATTTTTTAGAGAGGAAGGGAAAGACAGAAACATCGATGTGAGAGAGGTACATTGATCAAGCTGCCTCCTGCACGCCCCCAACCGCGGATCAAGCCCACAACTTAGGCATGTGCCCTGACCGGGAATTGAACCGGGACCTCTCAGTCCATGGGATGACGCTCAAGCCACTGAGCCACACCGGTCGGGCTCAAAATACTTTTTAAAGAAAGCCAGCAACCAATTGTCTCATGTCTGCTGCTATAAAAAAAATACATATTCTTCTAAATAAAATCAAGTCAAACCCCAGCCTAGTGCACCATGATATTTATAAATAAAGCTAGATGGTATCAATTTGTCCTCAAATCCACCTTAATAATTTGATTTCTTAATAATATACCAAAACAAAAATACATATTTTTTGGTTCATTTCCAAACAGCATTCATGTCCATCAGTACTTAGGTTAGGGCTTTCTTGTGCTCTAGAAGCAAAGACGTCACCACCCAATTGGTGGAAGCAAAGGGAGCCAGATGCTCTGGGGGACACTTGTGGGGAACAGTCCTGGGAGGCGATTCTGGGAGACAGTCTGGAGGACTCTCCTCAACTGAATGTGGCCCTTCTGTCCACGTCATCAACCACCCAGACTGCCCTTTCCCAGCCTCCTCCCTGAGAAAGAGCCACTGAGGCTTGCTTCACAAAGCACTCAGTTTGTCACACACACAGCACATCTGACATCCTTCATTTACTACCGAATGGAGAGGAGTGAGAAAAGAAGACCTCGTATCCCACCCCACACCCCGGAAAGTGCTCTGAACACGGACCCGCACCTTGGCAGGGACAGCTTCCACTTGGCAGCACTCCCACAGGCCCGGCTCAAACAGCCCAGGGATGAATGGGACAGGGCTCTGAACAGTGACCTGGAGAAATGAGGCCTCCCTTGTCCTCTGAGCCTTTCAGCACATCTGCAAGGCCAGGCTGGCCTCAAGTGCAGACGTGCATGTTTGTCTCTACCATGAGCGATGCTGTCAGTCATGCATAGCCGGCACACACGGAAATGGCTTACCACATCAATGTGGAAATTAAAGACAAAGGGTATTCCCCTAAAGGCTGTGGTTTTATAAACGGAGGTATAAGCTCTCAGTTCCGCAGATGCGGAATTCACAGCCACCAGCCCTGCATATCAGCTGAGCCGCACAGAGGTCTCAGCTGTGAGGGAGGCGCCAGCAGAGATGTTCTTGCATTAGTGACAGCATCTCGGCCCCACAAAAGGCCTCTTGTACCCATGCACATGACAGTGAACACAGACGTGGCTGTGAGATGGGCCTGAATGGACCCTTCTGACCACTTGAGGATGGCCCTGGCCCTATTCTGAGGGTCTGAAGCTGCACAACTCACAGGGACTCGTGGAGAAAGCAAGTGCCTGAGAGACTGCCCACTCTTGGGTCAGCTGGGTGCTTACATACCCAGCCCGCTCTGGGGAGAGAACAGAAATTGTCAGCGTGTAAGCCAATCACTACAGGAGCATCAGGTTCCCCATCGCCCTTCTTCTACTGCTAAGATCCCACTGAGAAGAGCTCAAAGCCTTCATGTGCTCTGGCCAAGAATGATAAACACAGGTCGGCCTCGCTTTTATGCTTTCCGGTCTGCTACGGTGCCTGAGAAAGCTTGAGGGGAGAGGTTGAACAGCCTGTAAAAGCCCAACATTTCCCTCAAACACAGGCGAAGAGGAGACCCCCAGGTGCAGAAGACAAGGATCCCCACACTCACTCTACTCCTGCTCCAGAGACTGCCAGGTCCAAGCCTGATGATGCCTGGACCCCGTGCTGCGGGAAGGTCCGCATTGCCCAAACATGCCCCCAGAACAAAGACTGAAAGATTTCCTAACAAAGATGCCTCAGCTGGTCAAGTTGGAGTAATTTTGAAAAAAGAAAGCAAAGCAGTCAAGGTAACAGAAAAACAGGAAGTTGCTTCTTCTCATCGGCTAAGTTTTGCTATTTTCCTAGAAGGCACTTAAACAGCTTCTACAACCACATATGCTGATTAACGGGAACAGACACCATGGGACGTGACTTTACTGTCAAATGGCTCTTTGAGGTGACAGCATGACTTCTGGTAAAGTTCTCAGGTATGTGGGCCTCATGCAGGCTGAGGGCCTCATGTCCATGTGTCCCCAGCTGAAGATGGACACACAGGCACATATGACATCTCAGGAAGAATGTAAGGTCGCCAGGCCTCAGGGGCCCGAGAAAACACCTGGGTTCAAGCACTGCTGCCACCACTCATAACCCTGTGCATGTCAGCTGACAGGGACGGTCACCACCACGCACTAGCAGTGAGACCACATGCACACAGCCTGACCTCTCTGGGCCTCCTCCTTCCTCGTTTGTGAATGGAGACCAATGGGGCGGGTAGGTCAGGTATGATTCAGACACAGCTGGCTCTCCCCAGAGGACATGCCTTGCCCCAGGTTACTGTTCTCTGCTTCATCCCATGACCACCAGACCACCCGGGGACCAAAGCTCTTTTGAGCACTCCCATTTTCTATCTCAAAGAGTAGAAACCATAAATGGGTAGCCTGTTGTAGCTCAGGCCTTCATGGGGACAGGACTGTGGCTCCAACCAGGCCATGGTCTCCACCCTCTTCTTTCTCCACTGTGGTCCTTTGAGGGAGGGGCTGGGAACTCACACTGAGCTCAAGGCCAGCTTCTGACTCCAGTGACCAGTTGTCCAGTCCAGCTAAGTTCCTTCCTCATTACCACACTGCAGTGAAGTGCTTACTGAGTCTTCCTCACCATGGCAACATCTTCCTGTGGTTGTACAGGCCATTTCCTGAGTCAGTGCCCTTGGCTACTGAGTACACTCCCACCCACAGTGGGGCCTGAGCTGAGGCTTCTAAATCCACTCCCCACGGGAGAACCTCCAGGCCCTCACTTTACCTTTCCAGGGAGGAAAGACCGCTTTTGGTTTAATGAGGCAAATTATGAGAAAATAAGCTCAGATTACCCCAGGTAAAATGAAAAGAGGAAAAGATATAAATCCATGGTGGAAAGCCAAAAGGGCACGGGATGAGAAGTATAGCAAACTACCATCACCCAGATCACTCTCAGGCTGTGGGCAGCGTGGGCGGGAGGGTGTCTGACTTCACAACAGAGGGACAAACTATAAGCACCTGGGGCTACAGATGACCCCTGCCTGTCACATGGCAACAGCCCACCACCCATGATGGTCTTGGCAACACCTCGAACTTGATTACAATCCAAACTCTGGATCTGTTTCCCAGTTCACAGAAGTACAGGGCAAGGATCAAGCCAAACACCACACAAGGCAGCTCCTGAACAATCCTGGACCGAGGGACACTGA